TATTAATTCCTTCTACAATATTTGCTAAAATGGAGTATTATTGTGGATCTTAGCACACGTACTTTAACTGACGATGTTATCAAACAACTTGATAACAATATCTCGATCTTAATGTGCAAGTTAAAGAAAACTTTCCTCCCTCATTTTTTGACGTTATGGAGCATCTATTTTTCCACCTTCTGTATGAGGCATTTCTATGTAGACATGTTCATAATGGATAAATGTATCCTTATGAGTGCTCCATGAAACAGTAGAAAGGTAAAGTAAAAAATCTTGCAAGTGTGGAAGGTTCAATAGGTTAAGGGAGTTTAACATGGAAAATGGCTCCAAGCATATATGATAGTGGTGGTACCATATATTGAGGCACAAATATTGAACAAACTGAGGACAACACAGCATGTGGAGGTACCGACTCTACCGTATTTTTTCAGGAAGATGGTGCTTCACAGATGGTTCCTGGAAAGAGAATTATATTTACTCTGGAAAGGGTTGGTTCAGCACTTTAAAAGGATTCGAGGGGCTGATGGGGCAAGGAATATTCGGGCTAGTCTCTCTCCTCTTCATGCGAAGATGGAAGCACTACTCTCAACAATGGAATGTATGAGAAACTTATGTCAATTTTAGGCTATGTTTGCAACGGATTGCTCTGAATTGGTGAAGATGGTTTCCGAACCAGAAGAACGGCCAGCTTTTGCAAGTTATTTGGATGGTATCAAGATTCTGAAAGAAATTTTCGTCTGATCTGAGATCATCTATGTGCCAGGGACGCAAAATGATAACGCGAATATCCTAGCACGTAGTGTTAGGAAGAAACCATTTTTCGTCCTTCACATGGATCAAGATTTTCTGGTTTGGCTCACAGAGTCATTATGAGTCTCTAGAAGTTGATGACAAAAGAAAATTACACCTTATTACACCAAAAACGCCAAAAAACTTCGTTAAAGTTCTTATTCTTTTCTTTGACAAATGCGTAGTATTATTATAAATATTATTTGAGTTTAAGTGCAGATAAAAAAAACCAGGAATGACACAAAATCTGACATCGGCATCTCAGTTGTCCGTCACTGCATGTACCAACCACTATTTTGTGCCTTTTGGCGGCGCTTTGGGCTTACGGCACAAAATTTGACATCGTCATCTTTTGTGTTGTATATTGCATACAGCAACCGTCAATTTTTACCTTTCGACACATAGGGTTTTGCAGCGGTTGATTTCACATTGTTTTCCTTTTTGTACTAGGGACTCAAAATTCTAAGGCGAATATCCTAGCACGTAGTGTTAGGAAGCAACTGTTTTTCGTCCTTCACATGGATCAAGATCTTGCGGTTTAGTTCACAGAGTCAGTATGAGTCTGTACAAGTTGATGACAATAAACAAATTACACCTTATTATACCAAAAACGCCAAAAAAATTTCATTAAATTTCTTATTCTTTACTTTAACAAATGCATAGTATTATTATAAATATTATTTGAGTTCAAATGCAGATAAAAAAATCAGGAATGGCACAAAATACGACATCAGCATCTCAGTTGTCCATCACTGCATGTACCAACCACTGTTTTGTGCTTTTTGGCGGCACTATGGACTACGGCACAAAATTCGACATCGGCATGTCATTTGTCCTTCACTGCAATTACCAACAGTTATTTTATGCCTTTCGGAACATAGGACTTTGCAGCGATTGGCTTCACATTTTTTTCCCTTTTCATTATTAATATATGTATGATATATGGTGTTTTAGCATATTCTAACAATGTTTTTAAAGTGTTTTTGAGTCTTTATCGAGTCTTTTTAGTCATTTTTAAGTCATTATAGGTCTGGAGTTGCATTGGATAGGAGATGGACCAGCTGGAGTGAAAGAGGCAGAAAATAGTACAAATTGGAGATTTTCATGCGGAACAGCCTAAAGTGCCTGCTCATGCAGCATAGATTTTTAAGGAAATTACAACATATTTCGGGATTTGCTCTAATTCTCCTATTTTTCTCTCCCAGCCGCCAGCAGCCTCCATATATATTATTTTCCTCTTTTCTATTATATTCTACGTTACTTTTTACACCAGAAACCAGATTTGAGCTTTTGGAGATTTGTGATTTCAATACTTTGTATCTTTGAGGGAGAAGAATCTCTACAACCTTTGGAGAAGATTTCTAAACCCTCTTGCTTATTATTTATTGATTCAGACATGTTTTATTCATCTCTATTCTCTGTGATTTCTTTTCATGTCTGAGTAGTCGCTTGTTAGGTTTAGGGTGTTAGGGATCATGGATTAATGAGCTAGACACAAATACGATTGTTATTCTTTGATATCTCTATCTAATGCTATACTTACTGCTTGTGTTAATCTGGCCATTCAACATCTGATATCAGGTTTAATCTAATCATCAAAAGTGTTTTATGTTGCTAAAAAAAGCATATATAGGCGTTTTGTCCTTAGCCAACGAGAGTTGATGTTAAGGCAAATCGTGAACCAATTGAATCTGATCTTAATGCTTGTCATCAGTCTCTAATCGAAACGATAGTTTAGGTATTAGGATTTCTTGTTAAATTGGTGGGTACACCACGACAGTGGGTTTATCTAATCTTGTTGTTCAAGTTCTAGATTGGCTCATATTATTTTCCTGAATAGTTGTGTAGCTCATGATCCTAAGTATCCCAATGAATCACCCTGGACCTAGCGCTTTTATAATCTGAAACCAAACCAACTTGTCACTTGCTTGTTACGATTTCTTATTTTAAAACCCCCATATTGTTTTAGCTTGATATTGATCCCATAAAAATAAAGTGTAATATTTGGTCTCTGTGGATTCGATCCTCAAGTACTACATCAAACCTCTTATTTGAGAGAGTAGCTTGAAGGTTAATTTGAGCATATCAATGTATAACATGGTGTTCCATCAGGTTTTAAATATCTAAATCTGGTCGATACGGTGGCGGTGGCGGCTTCGGATTTGGCTTCGTTTCTCCTGTTATTATAATAATTAAAACATAACATTAGTTTCATATTTAAAAAGGAAATGATTTTTTTGTAAAACATATGTTTATAGAGTTGTCTACATACTTACAAAAAAACACTATCTAAGCATCTTTTCTCTAAATCATTGATTATTTTTGAAAAATCATTAAACTCATTATTATATAATCACACATTCAACTTATATAGGTATATAAATTAATACAGTATCAAATAAACTTTATTTAGGAATGTTATAAAATATAGTAATAAAGTTGTTAATGTCAATGTAAATACAAACCGAACAGAAGAATTGTGAGCATAATGAAACCAATAAACCAAGGTTTGAAACCAACTTCCATCTTCTTCGATATTTAAATAATAGTGTTTTAGAAATCAGAAAGACAAAGAAGTACATTTATAGATGAATAATAGATTGAAACATGTCCAACTTTAGCTATCTATCTTTTAAAATTTTGAGAAAAAAAAGGATCTAGTTTGACCAAAAATTTAATAATCTCTAGTTTTTTTTTATTTAATGAAAAAATTAACTCATTTATACTTAACTCTGTTTTAAAATACTTTTTGGATATATAAACAATCAAATTTGATTACGTCAAATAATCAGAATTTATATAGTTGAACATTAATTGTGTATATAAATCACACATTATTATTTATTTTATATTAATTTACGTATTATGCAATAATAGGTATATTGAAAAATTGAGAAGCGAATAACTATTACGTATATAGTTAAACTGCAGTAAACATATAAATAAAAGCCGTCTTTCTTTGTATTTACAATATTTTTTTGTAAGAAATCAAAATAATTAATTATTTATGTATATAGTATATAATTTAAATTAAATGCTATTAACAAAATTATATAATATATTTTAATATAAATATTTGTTAATTGAAGTTCGTACTCATATGATTTAACTAACATTTTTATATTTACTATAAAAATATCATTTTTATTTATATGAATATTTATTAACTGATGTTTCCTACTCAAAGCAAATTTTGAAATTAACATGTTTATGTATTTTATAAATATATATATATATATATATATTTACTCTGAATATATATTAAAGAGATTTGATTTTTATATGATTTTATGCTCATTTATACAGTATTTTGTTATAACAAAAAGTTAAATAACTGAAACAAAAATTTCAATGTTGAATTTTAACAATTTTGGTAATTTATAATCGTTTAAAAAATTCAAAATATAGCATATAAGAAAAAAATTTCAAATTTTTTATTATAATATTAATATGGTTGTTTAATTTATTTTAAAAATATAAATTTAAAAAAATGATGGAAGATAGAATAATGTTATTAAATATTTATTATTCAGAATCATAATTTCCATATATTTGTTAACCATATCAGGCAATTTCGTAGCTATTATTTAAGGAAATAATGGAGAATACCAGTTAATTGCATAGTTAGTTTAATAAAAAGTATAACATATATTGAAATGGACCAACTTATATTTTCTAAAGATTTTAAGAATCAACGTAGTGATGACACATGGCTACCAAATATGTTGTAATACTCCAGGATTAATATATAAGAGATTGTAAATGTGTATATGGTTCAACCGATTAGTTGCTTCGGTTCAATCCAAAGTAAATGGTGTGTCCCCTTAATTAAACAACCGTGCATAATTTGGCTTTAATAAATGTTTGTTAATGATTTTTTTTCAGGCATGGGAGGGAATATTGGTGTGAGACAAAAGGTGTAAGCATCATCATAGATGAAGATTCGTATTCTTTGAAAGAAGTGATGCGGACGATGTTAAGGTGCCTAAGGCGTGAAATAGACCTCACCTCGGTATGGAACTCATCCAACCCTTGTTTCGAGAGTTCTAAAAGTTTCTTGACAGCTATCTCTTCCCCGCTGGCTAACACACCCTGGTCATACAAATTAAGAATTAACCATACATGGTCAACCACAATTTAATGCAGAGGCATGGATGATCGATGCAGCTTGCAGAGAATTACTAGGACTAAAATTAAAAAAAAAAATTGTTTTACTTGTCCACATACCCAAACCCACCATGTCCGATCTCTTGAAAGAAGTTGTCTGTGGTATTCTGTATCATCGCAAAGTCCATTGGGGCAGATAGTTCATTCTCTATTGGGTTTTCTCTTTCCCTTGGCATCATTATTTCTTCAACAAAAAAAAACAAAAAACAAAAATTAGAGAGAGAAGATCAGTTATAAAGATGTACGTATGCAATTACAACATAAAGAGAGTAGTTAGTGTCTATATATATATAGATGATCATCTTTCTTTTGATAAAAAACAAAAAAAAAATGAATTCCTCTTTCTTTACTTACCAACTAGGTAATAACTCGCGCCTTGTGTGGAATGAGATTATTACTTTTGTTACTTTTAGGATAAAAATGATATTATGTCTGTTTACCATGAATATTGGTTCAGTTTTACGTTGTATTTTTTAATCTCCTAAAATATAACTATAATTATAAATCTATATTTATTTTGGTTTGTTGTTTAAATGTTTGATGTTTTTGATTTTTTCGATGATAACCAAAAACTATTGTTATTTGTTTGGTTTCGTTTTATATAAATTTTAGACATTTTTGATGTCGAACTAATAGTTTCCTATTATAATTCCAAAGACGTGTAAAATCAAATAAAAACTAAATAATATTTGAAAAAAAGAAAAAAAATTATTAACACAAAATATTTCACTACAATTTGAGCGATAGTGAAAGAAAACATTAAAAAATTCAATTTCAATAAGAATACAAATTCTCAATTGTGATGAATATTTAGTTATATAGTCGCTCATGTGAATGTGTACATGTATGTATATGTAAACGTATATAAATGTGATGATAAATATATGAATATACCGTTAATTAAGATTTAAAATATTTTTGTTCAAAATAACACATGATAGTAAATTCTTAAACAAAATTAAGTAAAAATAAAACAAACCTAGAATTAATAACATTTTCATATGAAGAAAATAAAATTGTACCCTTAAACAATAAAAATAATATATATTACAAAGTGATATCTTCACTTGGTACCTCAATTATGTTTTTAATCGATTTTGTGATTTTATTTCTTTTTAAAGCTTTTCTTATGTCTGATATTTTTTCTACCAATTTGATTTTTTTTTTTTAAATTCTTGGGCTGATCTGAAAACTTTATAAAAATGTTAATATTTGACTAAAGTAAAGATCCGACTTTACGTGCGGTGTTTTTCACCTCAGTTTCTTTAATTCATAATCAGCCTCAACCATGACCAACTTCGGCAAGGTACGAAACTTTCAATTTTTACAAACATTTTCATCTCAACATTATAGCATATGCGAATCTTAATGATTTTTTATTTTTTTATAATAAAGATATTGTTCATTAGTTTCGCGTAGAAATTTTAATTTATTAATACAAAAGCTAAAAACGTAGGAAAAATGAATTAATTTTTAAAAAATGTATAAACACATTAAATAATGAATTTAAAAAATTAATGTGTGAACGCATTTATTGCCAAATGATTATGAGGCCGACACGTGTTAGTTATGGTGTGAACACATTTATTACAATGATTCTCTTTTAATATATAAGGGATTGATGATGCAGCAGTGGTGGCTCATTCTCTTTCCTCCTCTTGCAGTAGCAAATTAATAATGTAAAAGAGCCAAAACCACCGGAATGCAAAACACAAGTACCTACGATCAATCTTGTTTTGCTTTTCTTCTTCCCTAAAAGAAAAAAAAAAGAAAAAGAAAGAGTTTATAAAAGCAAATAAGATTCTAAAGAGTTGAGAAGTTAAAATTATTAAAGGAATTACCAGCCGTTCGCACATAAAGGTTTTGACCCTCATCGGAGTAACTGCAGAGATCCAACAAGTTTCTGCTCCATATTAGACAGCTCTGGTTTCCAGTTTCTAGGCTTATGCTTTTCGAATAAGCAGTACAAGTGCACTCCTTAAGGCAAATCTCACCGCATTGTTCTGGCTTGGTGACCGACGGGTTAGATTTGGTGTTGCTGGGAAGATTCATTTTCCCAACAAGTGAGAAATGGTTGTCTCCGCTGCAGGTCCCATTATTTTTCTGCACACACTCTTTTGTTGTCACGTTCAAGCCACTGTCCTCAAAACCTGGTATACAGTGGCACACAAAAGATGATGAACCAAGGCAACAATAAGCGTTCGGACTACATTGTCCATATATATCGCACTGGTCAAGGGATGAGCTCCATTTCTGGTCCCACTTTTTGGTCATTTGATTCCAAGTGTAGTGTCTCACTGATCCATCACTGTACAATTGTACTCAAGTGTATGCTGATGAAGTAGTAGTAATTGACGAATACGAGGTATGCTGGTCCTTCCATTCTAATCTAAACAAGGGTAGGAAGGATTCAGACCAAGTGGCAAGAACCGGATATTCCGCACTTTCGAAGAAGACGTAATTTCCTGGTTGTGGCCCATCAAGTGCTCTCCACGAAGTCAGATACATGTTTTGGTAACCCCAGAGTATCTTCATCTCAGGAAGTATAGTATCACTAGGTTCATTGAAACTCTCCCAGAAGAAATCTTCAGGATTGTCGTTGTTGGGATCTCTGAGAACTAGATTGCCATTCTAGAGGAGTGATATATGGTGTTTTTAGCATATTCTAACAATGTTTTCTAAAGTGTTTTTGAGTCTTTATCGAGTCTTTTTAGTCCTTTTTAAGTCATTACAGGTATGGAGTTGCTTTGGATGGAAGATGGACCAGTTGGAGAAAAAGAGTGCAATTTGGGAATTTTCACGAAGAACAGTCTGCAAACTGTTCCCGAGTGAGCGGAGCAGCCTGAAGCGCCTGTTCCTGCGGCAGCGATTTTTAAGGGAAATACAACATATTTCGGGATTTGCCCTAATTCTCCTATTTTTCTCTCCCAGCCGCCAGCAGCCTCCATATATCTTCTTTTNCAAACTGTTCCCGAGTGAGCGGAGCAGCCTGAAGCGCCTGTTCCTGCGGCAGCGATTTTTAAGGGAAATACAACATATTTCGGGATTTGCCCTAATTCTCCTATTTTTCTCTCCCAGCCGCCAGCAGCCTCCATATATCTTCTTTTCCTATTTTCTACATTATTCTACGCTACTTTTTACCAGAGAAACAACTCTAGAGATTTTGGATTATTGTGATTTCAATACTTTGTAATTTTGAGGGAGAAGGATCTCTACAACCTTTGGAGAAGATTTCTAAACCCTCTTGCTTATTATTTATTGATTTAGACATGTTTTCTTCATCTATTATCTCTGTGTTTTCTCTGTTCATGGCTGAGTAGTCAGCTTGCTTAGTCTAGGGTGTTAGGGTGTTTAGATCCATGAGCTAAATACAAATAAGGTTCATAATTTGATTGTCTCCATTCATGTTCATACTTACTGCCTGCATTAAACTAGCCACTTAGTGCTTGATTCTAGGTTTAATCTATTCATCAAAAGTGTTTTAGGTTGCTAGAAATAACTTGAATGGGCAGTTCGTCCCTAACCAGCGAAAGTAGATGTTAGGGCGTGCTGTGAACTTATCGAATCTGATCTTAATGTTTGCTTTCATGTTTTAGTCCAAACGAGAGTTTAGGTATTAAGGCTGATTGTCAAAAGGGGAGATACCNTCGTCCCTAACCAGCGAAAGTAGATGTTAGGGCGTGCTGTGAACTTATCGAATCTGATCTTAATGTTTGCTTTCATGTTTTAGTCCAAACGAGAGTTTAGGTATTAAGGCTGATTGTCAAAAGGGGAGATACCACGAGAGTGGGTCAATCTTTATTTGTCTTTTGAGTTCTAGACTTGTGCTTAATAAAACCTTGAATATATGTTTGGCTCATGATCGTTTGATACCCAATCTTTCACCCTAGGCTAGCATTCTCTTTAATCTGAAACCTAAATCAATTTGTGTTACTTGCTTGTTTTATTTTCTTAATTTAAAAATCCCATATTGTTTTAGCTTAATTCTGATCCTATAAAAATAAAGTGTAATATTTGGTCTCTGTGGATTCGATCCTCAAGTACTACATTGAACCTCTTATTTGAGAGAGTAGCTTGAAGGTTAATTTGAGCATATCAAGGAGTTGAGCAACTGCCGTTGTTGAAGAAGGATCACTCTCGCTTCTTTCATATCTAGTCGAGAACCACACAGCTACATTAGATTTGTCCCGGATAACCAACTGATGATCATCATAGATCTCCAAGGTCCCGTTAGAGTTGTGTAAAGGTTCTTTCCTATTCCCTACCCAAACATAACTTCTTTCCTCTACCTTCTTGTACCAAATCCCAAAAAACCACATCTCCCTTCTTCCTGCAAATCTAAAGAAATCAGCCTCAAATGTTCCTTTAGAAGACACAAGTGTGCCGCCCTTAACTGTAACCCATCTATCTCCCCTCTTTAAGATGTCTCCAGAATTAACGTATGGAAACAAGAAGAATGAAAGCAACACAATGTGTCTGAACAAAATTATCCTCCTCCAGTCCTCCTCCTTCTTCTTTACTTTTGTTCTTCTTTAATTTTTTATTCTTCTTCTTGGATATGATTAACTGGTAGGTTGGCGTTAGTTATTACATAGTCTAGCGTTTTTGACCAACCCCCATCTTAACTTGTCAAAGCCTAAAACTATATGCAATCAATAGCCCCCATGTGCTTAACAATCCCAAAAAAAGAATTAAAAAATAATATTGGAAATGTGTATCACAACCATTGTCGAATTAAATATTGTTTACCCTCTTCTTCCCTCAGGTTCGGTATCGATTAGTTGCTTCGGTTCAATCCAAAGTAAAGGGTGTGTCCCCTTGCACCCACTCTTCACCATAACCTCAAACACTTTCATTGCCTCATCCAAATCCCCCTCACTACCAAACCCACGAATCAAATCACAATACGTGACAGAGTTAGGTCTCATCCCAAGTCCACAAACCAATGCCTTAGCTTCTCCACATCTCTTCCTCTCACATAAACAGTGAACCATAACGTTATACGTAGCAACACCTACATGAACACCAAAATCTCTCAACACATTCCTCACCTTATCATACTTGTAAAAACCACCAATCATCAACCCGAACGTAGAAGCTCTAGGCTTCACACCATCTCGTCAACGATGGAGTCGGAATCACTCTTCGATTCACACAACGCTTTGATGATTCAATTATACACGTCTCTCGAGTCAGGCTCGATGATCCTCCCATACGGGAATTCCAAGTAGATTTGTTTCACTTGATTGTAATCTTTCACAATCAAACAAGCGAGTAACAACCCGCGTTCTCTTGATCTCGTACCTACTTTCGAGGTAACGGAACGTCTGTAACGATCGAACGAGCATTTTTTCACGCTCGTAGAGGATGATTACGCGGATGGCGAAGCTCTGGGGGATGGGATACGGTTTGCTGTTGATGAATCCGTCGAGAAGGTGAGATACAGCGGACAACTGTTTGTCGTTGGAAAGTGTTGTAACTGCGATGGAGAAGGCAATGTGGTGGAGGTGTGCGAGAAGCGGATCTGAAGATTTTGAGGATTCGATCCGGATTGTTCTCTGTTCTGAGGAGGGAGAGGACGTGCCGAGGGTTCTTGTGGTTGGTGGTGGGTAGAGTTTTGGAGTTTGTCGTGAGGAGTGATGAAGCGGTTGACATTAATCTGAGGTTGTGAGCGAGAGGTTCGGATGTTAGGATGCGTAAGAGAGACGTCATTAGTTAGGTAGGGTTCAGGATGTTGAGGAAGACGACGATGACGACGACGGTGAAGAGAGAGAGAGAGAGATATCAGGTTTAAACCGGTTTTGACAAAAAAAAAAAAAATTTAACTCAAATGGTTTTCTGAAAATGTTTAACCGTTAACTGTACACGAAGTAGATGTGGAAGATTCTCCTTTCAAGATTGAAGAGGAAGGAATACCACTCTTGGCTTCATCAATTAGGTAAAAGGCAGGGCGTTTTGGATTTTGAATCTCAATAGTTTCCTGTTGTAACTGAGCCACGACGAGAGAGATTTTAGGTCTGTCAATTGCAAAATTTTGAGAACAAAGGAGTCCCACTTCAATGCATCTCAACACTTGCCAAGACTCTACACAGTCTTGTCTCATCTTCTCATCGATGATTTCACTCCAGTTGCCTTCATTATATTTGTTCCACGCCTTTTCAACAAAAAACAAAAAAAACACAAATGATTGTTTTTCATATATTTTTTGCTATTTCTCAAAGAATCAAACATATATTAACTATAAAAAAATGCTTACGTAGCCGAGAAGGCAGCCAATGGAAGAGAGAATGATCTGTTCCTTTTCCCGTTAACAATTTTAAGAACAATAACCCCAAAACTGAAGACGTCAGACGCAGATGAGAATATGCCATGTAACAGGGATTCTGGCGGTACGTAACCACTGCATAATAACAAATCAAGAACCAACTAACTAGGTAATGATCACACTATACTAAAAAAAAAAAGAAGAAATATAAAATGTTTTGATAACATACTGCGTTCCAGCCGTATGCTGTGTGAAAACTTCCTTGTCGCTCCTTGCACACATTCGGGCCAAGCCGAAATCGGATATCTTCGGGGTCATATATCTGTCAAGTAAGATATTATCAGGTTTCAAGTCCCGGTGTAGAATCAGATCGTGTCCCCCTTCTTCGATATATGTTAGGCCTTGAGCTACACCCTTAATAATACGAAATCTCGTTTCCCAATTTAGCTCACCACCGCCTACAAAACCGACCAGAATATATATATATATATATATATCATCAATCTTCATTTAACTTATATATATATATGATTCCCAACCAATCAAAATTAAAACAGCTAACCAAAAAGATGACGCTCTAAGCTGTCGTTCATTAGATACTCGTATATCAATAGCTTTTATTCCCGGTAAACACTCCAACCATAGAGGCGGACGATGTTAAGGTGCCTAAGGCGTGAAATAGACCTCACCTCAGTACGGAACTCATCCAACCCTTGTTTCGAGAGTTCTGAAAGTTTCTTCACAGCGATCTCATCCCCGCTGGCTAACACACCCTGGTCATACAAATTAAGAATTAACCATACATGGTCAACTACAATTTAATGCAGAGGCATGCATGATCGATGCAGCTAGTAGAGAATTACTAGGACTAAAATTTTATAAAAAAATTAAAAAAATAGTTTTACCTTGTACACATACCCAAACCCACCATGTCTGATCTCTTGAGAGAAGTTGTCTGTGGCATTCTGTATCATCGCAAAATCCATTGGGGCAGATAGTTGATTCTCTATTGGGTTTTCTCTTTCCCATGGCATCATTATTTCTTCAACAAAAAAAATTAGAGAGAGAAGATCAGTTATAAAGATGTACGTACGTATGCAATTACAACATACAAAGAGTAGTTAGTGTCTATATAGATGATCATCTTTCTTTTGATCAAAAACACAAAAGAAAATGAATTCCTCTTTCTTTACATACCAATTGATGATGCAGCGGTGGTGGCTCTTTCTCTTTCTCTTTTTCTCTTCTTTTGCCTCCTCTTGCGGTAGCAAAATAATAATGCTAAAAGAGCCAAAACCATTGGGATGCAAACACAAATACCTACGATCAATCCTGTTTTGCTTTTCGAGTTTATAAAAACAAATAAGATTCTAAAATGTTGAGAAGTTAAAACTATTAACGGAATTACCAGCCGTTCGCACATAAAGGTCTAGACCCTCATCGGAGTAACTGCGGAGATCAAACAAGTCTCCGCTCCATATTAAACAGCTGTGGTTGCCAGTTTGTAGGCTTATGCTTGTCGAATAAGCAGTACAATTGCAATCCTCAAGGCAAATCTCACCGCATTGTTCTGGCTTGGTGACGGACGGGTTAGATTTGGCGTTGTTGGGAAGATTCATTTTTCGAACAATTGAGAAATATTGGTTGTCTCCGCTGCAGGTCCCATTCTGTGTCCGCACACACTCTTTTGTTGTCACGTTCAAGCCATAACCTGGTATACAGTGGCACGCAAAAGATGATGAACCAAGGCGACAATAAGCGTTCGGAATACATCGGCTATACAAATCGCACTGGTCAAGGGGTGAGCTCCATTGCTGATCCCACTTTTTGGTTATTTGATTCCAAGTGTAGTGTCTCACAGATCCATCAGTGTACAATTGTACTCTAGTGTATGCTGATGAAGTAGTTGTAATTGACAAATACAAGGTATACTGGTCCTTCCATTCTAATCTAAACAAGGGTAGAGCTCCGATGAACTTATGTCCGTTCCAAGGACCGCTTCTACAAATAATGAAGGATTCAGACCAAATGGCAAGAACCGGATATTCCGCACTTTGGAAGCCGAAGACGTAATTTCCTGGTTGTGGATCATCAAGTGCTCTCCACGAAGTCAGTAACATGTTTTGGTAACTCCAGAGTATCTTCATCTCAGAAAGTATGGTATCACTAGGTTCATTGAAACTCTCCCAGAAGAAATCTTCAGGATTGTCGTTGTTGGGATCTCTGAGAACTAGATTGCCATTCTCGAGGAGTTGAGCAACTGCCGTTGTTGAAGAAGGATTACTCTCGCTTCTTTCATATCTAGTCGAGAACCACACAGCTACATTATTAGACTTGTCCCGGATAACCAACTGATTATCATCATTGATCTCTAAGGTCCCGTTAGAGCTGTGTAAAGGTTCTTTCCTATTCCCAACCCATACATAACTTTTTTCCTCTACCTTTTTGTACCAAATTCCAAAAAACCACATATCCCTTCTTCCTGCAAATCTAAAGAACCCAGCCTCAAATGTTCCTTTAGAAGAAACAATTGTGCCGCCCTTAACTGTAACCCATCTATCTCCCCTCCTTAAGATGTCTCCAGAATTAACGTACCGAAACAAGAAGAATGAATAAAACAAAATGTTTCTCAACGACATTATCCTCCTCCCGTCCTCCTTCTTCTTCACTTTCATCTTGTATACAATTAATTGGTAGGTTGGCGTTCTAGCTTTTGTGACCAAAAAAATCTCATCTTTAACTTTTCAAAGCCTAAAACTATAAACATAGGTGCTGCAATCAATATCCCCCATGTGCTTAACAATCCCAAACAAAAAAATTAAATATTGTCTACCCTCTTCATCCCTCAGGTTCGGTATCGATTAGATTAGTTGCTTCGGTTCAATCCAAAGTAAAGGGTGTGTCCCCTTAATTAAACAACCGTGCATAATTTGGCTTTAATAAATGTTTGTTAATGACTTTTTCTTTTTTCAGGCATGGGAGGGAATCTTGGTGTGTGAGACAAAAGGTGTAAAGCATCATCATAGATGAAGATTCGTATTCTTTGAAACAAGTGATGCGGTGCGCTCTTCTTTGATCACCCCCTCACAATTTCGCAAATACTGTATGTTGAGCAACAATATCAGTACAGCCAACATTCACTAACATGCAACCAGGGGTTTCTGACTATGTGTTCTCTCAATTGCAATCAACAATGGAAAGAAGATAAACACTTGGTAGATTCTGCTGTTTAAAGAGATTGAATCTTATACAAGTTTGAAATTATGTTATGTACTAGCCCCAAACACATGTTACATGAAGACAATTAGATACTAGGAAAAAAACTAGAAACATGTGTTCATCATTGAGCTTCGACTTCATTCCACAAGAGAACATTTCTTGAAAACCTGTCTTTCAGTTGCTCAATCACCTCTTTAGCTTCATCAACCTTGTTACAACCAACTAGTCCATTAAGCAGCCACCTCATGACATTGTAACTCGGAACCCAGTTCTTCTCCATACTCTCCCTACATACAACCAAAGCCGTCTCAAACTCTCCTCCTTTACACAAGCCCCGTATCAAATCAAAGTAACACTCACTACCATCAGCCTTACACCTACTCTTCACCATAACCTCAAACACTTTGATCGCCTCACTACAAAACCCACGAATCAAATGACAATACGTGACAGACTTAGATCTCATCCCAACTCCACAAACCAACGCCTTAGCTTCTCCACATCTCTTCCTCTCACATAAACACTAAACCATAACGTTATACGTAGCAACACCTACATGAACACCAAACTCTCTCATCATCCTCAACACGTTCCTCACCTCATCATACTTGTCCTCCTTGTAAAAACCACCAATCATCAACCCGAACGTAGAAGCTCTAGGCTTCACACCTCTCCTCAACGATGGAGTAGGAATCACTCGTCGAGTTCGATTCACACAACGCTTTGATGATTCGATTATACGTCTCCAGATCAGGCTCGATGATCCCGTACGGGAATTCCAAGTAGATTTGTTTCACTTGCTTGTAATCTTTCGCAATCAAACAAGCCAGTAACAACGCGTTCAACGACTTCACCGTTCTCTTGATCGAGCATTTTCGCGCGCCCGTATAGGATGATTACGCGGACAGCGAAGCTCTCGGGGATGGGATCCGGTTGGCCGTTGATGAATCCGTCGAGAAGGTGAGATACAGCGGACAAGTGTTTGTTACTGGATAGTGTTGTGAATGCGATGGAGAAGGCGATGCGGTGGAGGTGGTGGTGAGGTGTGAGGGAAGCAGATCTGAAGATTTCGAGGATTCGATCCGGATTGTTCTCTGTTCTGAGGAGGGAGAGCACGTGCCGGGAGTTCTTGTGGTTGGTGGTGGTAGTTAGGAGAGATGAAGCGGTTGAGATTAATCTGACGTTGTGAGCGAGAGGTTCGGATGTTAGGATGCGGAAGAGAGACGCCATTAGTTAGGTAGGGGTTAGGATGTTGAGGAAGAGAACGACGAGGACGGTGGAGAGAGAGAGAGAGAGAGAGAGAGAGAGAGAGAGAGAGAGAGATCAGGTTTAAACCGGTTAACGGGTTTTGATAGAAATTGAAAGTTTAATTCGAATGGTTTTGTTGAATCAGATTATGGACCGTTGTTGATTCACCGATAGTGGCGGTTTTGATGAATCTAAAACGATTTTTTAGAGAAAATAAAAAAAGTTAGGATCATGTTTAAACCGGGGTTTTGAACCCGACGTGAATCGAACACGCAACCTTCTGATCTGGAGTCAGACGCGCTACCATTGCGCCACGGATCCGATGAAACTATAGCCACGAAAGTTTTATCTATCGTATAAAGAGTCTTCTTCATTACAATTTTGTATGATCATTCAAAAGAGTTATCAATCTTTTCATTGTCTTCTCCGATCATGATGCAAAACCTAACACCCGGAGGTATCTTTCCGCATCACGTTCCTCCTCCGTTTACCAGCATTAGCAACCCGCCTCCTTACGGGATGGGATGGCTGGAGGAATGTGAAGAGCTTAATAATGTTTTGCGATGCTTCTGTTTTCCCTTCTGTCTCCTTTATTTTGCTTTGAGAATAGAGAACATAAGTGGCATCAACATAAGACCTTTTCTTAGTGAATAATTCATGTCGAGTTGGTGAAGATTTACGTTCAATGTGGCTCTCCACGAGTTAGATAAGAAAACATAGCCTGGTTATGTCAGAGAATATATATATATATATATCGAACACAACTAATCTCCAGCATTAGAACAGTTGGAATCTTTGATGTATATAAGACAAAAGTTTTGTCTTTAGAGGTGTATGTAGAGTTAGTATGGCATGTGTCTCCAAATTTAACACTGTGCATGTTAACTTGTGAATCTCCGGAGTCATATATGGACCCTCACATTAACTAGCCCTAACATTAACACCTTTCAGCTTTGAAATTTGATATTTAAATTTTCCTGAGACCCATTGTTCAAACCAAAGGGCACAGAATAAAGAATCTGATTATTTTAGTTTGTCGATTTTACAAGCTTATTGCCTTACTTTCAAAACATAAATAAACGAAATAAATGTATTTGGACGGCAGGCTTCTATACCGAAATGGTTATAGACTAAGGAGTTATCTTATAATTTATTCAAGTGTATAACCTATATGACATTGTGTTTGCAACACAAATAAAAAGGATCATAGCATTAACTATGCATTTTAGCTGGATATTCATAACATCCTCTATATATTAGCATATCTTATTGTCCTAATGGTTTGACTTATAAGTTAAATAGTATTTTTAGAATTATTCTATCAAGAAAGTACAACTTCACAACAACAAAAACCAGGTATACAAGTTACAAGTTAGTGCACCAGCACTGTCTAATGCAATGACTACAAATACTTTCTCATTTCCAACTCCTCCCTCAGAAAAGATAATAGTTGAAAATGACCCTCTTCAAACAGCCATGTCTTTACTCAAAGCTGGACAAGGAAGACCCAGAAGAGGTGCTTCACCGACGCGCCAACTTCTTGATTTACAAAACGCTTCAAGAAGTTGACTTGGTTTCTCGCCGTTCTTCTCATCCGTCGTCCTTTCTAAAGATGAAGCTATTGAAGTTGAAGGTCAAGATCGGGAAGAGTTTGGCTAAGCTGCGTCGGAACATAGAATCTACCATTAGATTTGGCGGGATTCAAAAACATTCTCAAAGCAGCGTGAGAGCTTTGAAGAAGATGTTTCACGGTGGTGCAACAAATGGGCTACCTAGGCCAATTTTCGCTCTTGAAGTTTGATATTTTTTTCATATTCTTGTTTTGTGTATTTCACTTTTTTTTTTTCTTTCTTGAATGAATCTCTGTTGATATCTATTACAGAAGTCTATCAAGAAATGGTATATGAAGATATCATGAGTCTTGTTTCTTTCATAAAAAGTGGAATCAAATCTTATCATTGTAATAACAAAGTTGTTTTTGGTCATAATAAATTTCAATTTTCTTTAAAAATAAGTTTTAGCATCCCACACAATTGAACCATCCTAGATTTTCTCGGTATAGTGATTTGATAAAATAATTTATTTATAATGATACAAACTAATAGAGAATTTTTACATAACATGATACGTACAAAGTAGAGCGACACATCTTCATAAAATGATTTATAGTACAAACAAAACAATTATGCGAAAGTTTGATTCAGCAAAATTATTTATGTAATATTTATTATAAGTTGATATAATAAGAAATTATTGTTCAAAAATTAAATTCATCGAAATATCTTGGGGTTAAAAATTAATCGGATGAATTTATAAGGACTCAACTGCAAATACAATTTAGTTTCCTTTCTTCCTTTCCCTTGGTGCCTCTTTTTCATTTTTTTTTTTCCTCATCATCGTCTTCGCTCACGTTGTCCCTCGTCTGAAGTCACCGGAGGTCTTTCATCACGTCTTCGAAGTTTTCGATCATCGCCAGGTCTTCCTCATCTCTCATTGATTTCGATTTCTCCTCTGCTTGAATGAATCTCATAATGCGCATCTAAGAGATCTCTTTATTAACATTGCTTAGAGAAAAATCTAGAACGATAGAGAACAGAATTTCTAAATCCTCTCTTAGTATTAACGATCCTTAGATTCTCTTCGTGTTTTGATTGAACAGGGAAGATCATGGAGTAGAGATTTCGGTTTTCGCCTGAGAATTTTGAGATTAGATCTTTTATTATTTGTGTGGATTGTTGAAGATGAGTGTGGTGGGATTCGACGTTGGGAACGAGAACTGTGTCATCGCTGTTGCGAAGCAACGCGGGATCGATGTTTTGTTGAACGATGAATCCAACAGAGAGAATCCAGCTATGGTGTCCTTTGGTGAGAAGCAGAGGTTCATGGGAGCTGCTGCTGCTGCCTCTGCTACAATGCATCCCAAATCCACAATCTCTCAGCTGAAGAGATTGATCGGAAGGAAGTTTAAGGAGCCTGATGTTCAGAAGGATCTGAAGATGTTCCCATTCGAAACTTGCGAAGATGCTGCTGATGGTGGGATTCAGATTCAGCTTCGGTACATGGGTGAGATGCAGAGGTTTAGTCCGGTTCAGATTTTAGGGATGTTGCTTTCGCATTTGAAGCTGGTTGCAGAGAAGAGTCTCAAGACTCCTGTTTTTGACTGTGTCATTGGGATTCCTTCTTACTTTACTAACGCGCAAAGGCTTGCTTATTTGGATGCTGCGGCAATTGCTGGCTTGAGGCCGTTGAGGTTGATGCATGATTGTACCGCTACTGCGCTTGGATATGGTATTTATAAGACGGACTTGGCGGCTAACTCGACTCCTACTTGCATTGTGTTTGTGGACATTGGTCACTGCGATACGCAAGTTTGTGTGGCGTCGTTTGGGTCTGGCAGCATGAGAGTGCTTTCTCATGCTTCTGATAGAAACTTGGGCGGGAGAGATTTTGATGAGGTTTTGTTCAACTACTTTGCTGTTGAGTTCAAGGAGAAATACAGCATTGATGTATATGCAAATACCAAGGCGTGTGTTAGGTTAAGGGCGTCGTGTGAGAAAGTGAAGAAGGTCTTGAGCGCAAATGCTGAGGCTCCGCTGAATATAGAATGTCTTATGGAGGAGAAGGATGTGAAGAGCTTCATTAAGAGAGAAGAGTTTGAGAAGTTGTCATCAGGGTTGTTGGAGAGATTAATTGTTCCGTGTCAAAAGGCTTTGGCTGACTCTGGTCTAAGTTTGGATCAGATTCATTCTGTGGAGCTAGTTGGTTCAGGATCCAGAATCCCAGCTATATCTAAGATGCTAAGCTCCTTGTTTAAGAGGGAGCTAGGCAGGACTGTGAATGCAAGCGAGTGCGTAGCTCGAGGATGTGCGCTTCAGTGTGCAATGCTCAGTCCAATTTTTCGAGTGAGAGACTATGAGGTACGCTATTTTCTCTATGTGATAATACTCTTTCTTACTTCTTGTTTCTGTTTGAAAAACTTACCGGGCGGATGAGTAGATTATTGTAGTGGTTACAGATATGCTGTGCGTGTTAAAGCATGATGGAGTGTATATATTTACGGATTTGTTTATTGTGAATGGCTGATCTTTTTTTTTTTTTTTTATCTTTCCCCGATTTTCAGGTTCAGGATTCTTTCCCTTTCTCAATTGGCTTTTCATCTGATAAAGGTCCCATAAACACACCATCAAATGAAATGCTCTTTCCTAAAGGCCAAGTCTTTCCAAGTTTGAAGGTTCTTACTCTACGTAGAGAAAAGACGTTTCATTTGGAAGCCTTTTACGCAGACCATAACGAAATATCGCCAGATTCACCAAGTCAGATAGGCAGCTTTACGGTATGCTATCTCTCAGGCTTCCCCTTTTTGGATATACATTCAGGGTTTATAGCTCTGAGTACACTTTGGATGGTTGTGCCACCATTAGGCTCTGCATAATTAATGGAACTCTTATTCCGATGTGCAATGTCTTGTAGATTGGTCCTTTTCAAAGTTCCCAAGGAGAAGCAGCGCGTGTCAAAGTAAGAGTTCAGCTAAATCTCCACGGGATTGTCACCATCGATTCAGCTTCTGTGAGTACATCTGATACCAATACTTTCCAGATAATATATCCGTTTAGGTTCTTGCCTAGCTTAAGTCTAAACTTTCTGTTTCTGAAAAAAAGCTAATAGAGGATCCTAAGGAGAATACTACCTCTGAAGAGACAGTATCCGAAAATAACCATCAATCTCCAGACCCTTCGTCAGGTTCTACTGTAAGTATGCTTTAACAACGTGTAAAGAAATACAGTTTCATTGTAAGAAAGCTTAAAGCCCGATATAGTGAAGCTGATCTTGAAGCATTGGCATCTGGATTCATTTCTGAAAAAAAATCAAATGGTTGATCCGGAGTTTCTCTTGTCCAAAGCTTGCTAATCTGCGCAAATACTGAGATAAGTTTCTCTTGTGTGTTGTGTAGGTTAATGATCATAAGGGTGTCAAAAGAATGAAAATTTCAGTTGTTGAGAACGTCTCTGGTGCATTGACAAAGAATGAGTTATCGGAAGCCAAACAGAGAGAGAACTCTTTGGTGGTGCAAGATCTGAAGATGGAATCGACTAAGGATAAGAAAAATGCTCTTGAATCCTTTGTTTATGAGATGCGTGATAAGGTACTAATATGGCTTTAGTGGGATCCAAGTTTGCTAAAATATGTCTACTTGCTCTTCAAGATTTTTATCACTTCGCGTAATAATATTTGTGTACACTGGCAGATGTTAAATACATATCGAAGCACTGCAACCGAGTCAGAAAGGGAATGCATCGCCAGAAATCTTCAAGAAACAGAGGAATGGCTATACGAAGATGGTGATGATGAAACTGAAAATGCGTACATCGAGAAGCTGAATGATATCAAAAAGGTAACCAACTCCGTAAGTGTTTTGTATATAAAGGTTAGTATTCTGCGGATGATGACTTGATGACGTTTCAACTCTGAGCAGCTCATTGATCCTATTGAAAAGCGGTTTAAAGATGGAGAAGAGAGAGTACAAGCATCAAAAGATCTTGCGAAAACTATAGCAGATAATCGAAGGGCTGCAGATTCTCTTCCTCCTCCAAGAAAGAACGCGGTTTGATTCTAAACTACTAACATTATTCTCACACTCTATTGGCAATTATATATGAGTTTTGAGACAGACAAGTTCGTCTAGCACGGAATGAGCATGATGTTTTTTCATCTTCAGGTTCTTGATGAATGTAACAAAGCGGAGAGGTGGCTCCACGAGAGAACCACGGAACAAGGATCATATAGCCATCCGGAGCTACAATCTGGTGAAATCAGGAAGAAGGCCGATGCTCTTAACGCGTAAGTATATATATATATAATATTTTCATTCTCTTGTTAATTAATAGAACAGCGAAAAATTTGGTCGTGCATATGATGGAACCAAGTCCGGGTCATGTTTTGTTAACTAATGCTTGAATGTGTTTGCAGGACGTGCAAGTACATTGGGAAGTCAACCCCTCCTCCCACGAAATCGGAACATAATGGATCCCATGGACGTAGAAATTCCGATGATATGGAGCTTGATTGATTTTTCTCTTTAATCTAAATTTTGTTATCTTTATTATTCTAAATGAGGATGTGAAAAGAAAAAAAAGAATAAGGCTAAAGTATACAGTGTATTTCTGACATTTTAAACAATTGTTTTCATTGCTTTTGTCAACAATTTGAAACGATTATTCGAGGTTGATTTTTTCAGAATTTGATTTTTCTTTCTTTCTTTCGTGTTTTGTCTATTGGTTGAGGTCAGAAATCAATGTCATGGTGCGAGTTTCTAATTTTATTAAGGAAAAATATGAACTTTATGTTTAACTACTTTAGTTATTAACAAAGGCTCATTAAGCCGGACTTATCACAGTACTGAGTTTTGCTAGTATTGTTAAAACCATATGTGCGTGATGTAGATGCTTTTTAAAAAAGATCTACACTGCCATATATAATAGTAATAAAGTGTGATTAGAGATTAAATCTCAGAGAAGAATATTCCAAGTCTAGGAACTAACTAAGGACAAAAGTGGGGAGTCACATGTGCTGTGGCCACGAGCTCACTACGACTCGGTCACTTTGTTTATTTAATAGTTAAGAAAAGAGAGTTGAGTTACTTTGTTTTCTCCGTCAAAAACATTACGCAAATCCTAAACAGCGAATTTGCTTAGTCCACCACCATTGTAGGTCTTTTATTCGGATATTTTCCACCAAATATCTTGGTGTTTATATACCAACATATTATCTGTTAATTCACTGATGAATATTTATTGGTCTAATTGGTACGTAAGGCCGTGTACGCGTGTCAAATTCATCAAAATCGATCCATCCAGCAACCAAATCATTTTCATAATGTAACTATAGTGGTTTGGAAATTCACTTCATATGGATGGGTTCATAATTTAAGAGTCTGTCTACTAAAGACTCGAATCTCATGCTCGAGTAGATGCTGAGTAAGAGTGTCATGGACCAATCCAACCTAATATGATCCACAAATGTTAATGGACATGAAAGACACAAATAAAATAATTAAGAAGATAAATCAAATCATGATATTTGGATCGAATCCTTTGTGCTATTCTTGTTCTTGGTTTACTATTCAAACTTTGCAAACTCATAATACGTATTTTATTTGAGAAAATGAATAATAAAACCAAAAAGAAAAAGAGAGAGAACGTGAAGAAGAGATTGAAATGTGAGAATCCAATTAGAAAGGGAGAAGAGGTACAGGTTAGAAGCGTGTAAGAAGAAGATATATTGATGATGTGGACAAGTGTACGAGGGCAAATTCGTCCAAATCATGAGCACTAATAACGAATTCATACAGCAAAAAAACTTTATAATATAATCATCATTATGCTGTTTATAATTATTAATATGTTATTAGAAAACTCATAATTTTTGTTTGCGTTTCGTAATTACAAAACCATTCACCGCCGTTGGTTTTTTCTTTTGCTGAAAATACAAAACATTTTTACATTTACAAATAAATAATTAAAATTTCCACTTGTGCTGAACTTTAATTTTAGTAAAATAATCTGGAGAAAAAAAAAAAAGTAGCAAATAAACAGAGGGGAGAGAAAGCAGCTATCACTTGAGCGTCCAGAGCGACTGTTTCTCCAACGTGCGAGAGAGCATCTCTGCAGAGCCGTCTCTTCTCCTCTCATTCACGCGCCGTCTCTGAACCTCAGATCATTATTATCGCTTGGTCTCTCCATAGAGTAAGTAAAGCTTATTCGATTTATCTATATCCTCTTTCACCAAATAACAACAATGCTTTACATCTCGATCTTCACTAGCTGTTCTTAAAAACATAGATTAAGATCAGTAACAAACCAATCAAGATCCGATCTAACTGCAAATCACATTAACTCTCTGTATTTCCTGATTTTTGACTTTCTTGATTTTGACAGGAATGGAATTAGATTCAGACAAGAACCTATTAAAAACAGGTCTGGCTATAATAGCGACACTTGTTCTCGCCAAACTCATCTACACCATCTTCACATCCTCTTCCAAGAAGAAGCGTCTCCCTCCCACTCTCAAAGCATGGCCGCCACTCATCGGAAGCCTTCTCCGTTTCTTGAAAGGTCCCATCGTTATGCTCAGAGACGAGTATCCTAACCTCGGAAGCGTCTTCACAGTCAACCTCCTCCACAAAAAGATGACATTTCTCATCGGTCCTGAAGTCTCCGCTCATTTCTTCAAGGCCCCTGAGTCTGATCTCAGCCAGCAAGAAGTCTACCAGTTCAATGTCCCCACTTTTGGCCCTGGTGTTGTCTTTGATGTTGATTACTCTGTTCGTCAGGAACAGTTTAGGTTCTTCACTGAGGCTCTTAGGGTTAATAAGTTAAAGGGCTATGTGGAAATGATGGTTACTGAAGCTGAGGTATATATATTTTAAATTTATTAGTCCGGGTTTATGGAAGGGTCCAGACTAATCCCTAAGTGGAGGATAATTTCATTTTCATAAATGTTTTTTTTTTGTCTTTGTTTATTTTTGGTAGGATTTTTTCTCGAAATGGGGAGAGAGTGGTGAAGTTGATTTAAAGACTGAGCTAGAGCGTCTCATCATCTTAACTGCAAGTAGATGTTTACTTGGTCGTGAAGTTCGTGACCAGCTTTTCGATGACGTCTCTGCTTTGTTTCATGACCTTGACAACGGCATGCTTCCCATCAGTGTTCTCTTTCCCTACCTCCCAATCCCAGCTCACCGTCGTCGTGACCGGGCCAGAGAAAAGCTTTCCGAGATCTTCGCAAAGATCATAGGGTCGAGGAAACGCTCTGGCAAATCAGAGAACGACATGTTGCAGTGTTTCATCGAGTCCAAGTATAAGGATGGTAGGCAGACGACTGAGTCCGAGGTAACGGGTTTGCTTATCGCTGCTCTGTTTGCAGGACAGCACACGAGCTCTATCACTTCCACTTGGACCGGTGCTTATCTGATGAAGTACAAGGAGTACTTCTCTGCTGCTTTGGATGAGCAGAAGAAGCTGATGGAGAAACATGGAGACAAGATTGATCATGATATCTTGTCCGAGATGGATGTTCTCTACCGATGTATTAAGGAAGCGTTGAGGCTTCACCCTCCATTGATCATGCTCATGAGAGCCTCTCACAGTGATTTCAGCGTGACGGCCCGGGATGGTAAAACCTTTGACATCCCAAAGGGTCACATCGTTGCAACCTCGCCTGCGTTTGCCAACCGCTTGCCGCATATCTTCAAAGATCCAGACATGTACGACCCGGATAGATTCTCCCCTGGAAGAGAAGAGGACAAAGCTGCAGGAGCGTTTTCGTACATTGCCTTCGGTGGAGGAAGGCACGGATGTCTTGGAGAGCCCTTTGCTTACCTGCAGATCAAAGCCATATGGAGTCATTTGCTGAGGAATTTTGAGCTTGAGTTGGTTTCACCGTTCCCTGAGATCGATTGGAACGCTATGGTGGTTGGTGTTAAAGGCAGTGTGATGGTGCGTTACAAGCGTCGCCAACTGTCTTAAATAGACAGGTTTAAGGTTGTATTGCGAATCTGGTTGTTCTCTTTGCTTTTGTCCCTCTCTGGTTTTTAGTATTGTTGTTGGTTTGTTCTTCTGCTTCTTTACCTGTTTTTCTTTGCCCTTTAAGTGAAACTTGATTTCTAGTTTTCCAAGTTTGTTGGTACTGCCGAATGTTCTAATTCCAGTTGAGATTTGTTTAGTTTATGTTCTGTTACTACTCGCATAGTTAAACCAATTTTACTCTACCAAGGTACGTTAGTAATGAGAGATAAGCTTACCCTGAAGAGCAGATTGTGGTTCTTTATAATCTGCATACATGTAACGTGGATTCGGATAAATAGATATTGGCGACATTGATCAGATATAGTGAATACTTGTTCATCAACTAAAGACAAATTTGAACATTCATAATAATAAGAAACAAAATAAAAGGAGTATAACTATCTGATTACAAGATGGGAAGGAGTTCAGAGCTTGATACTAAATCATAAAAGCATTTATGTCTATTTTATGTAATAATATCAATTTTTGAATATATATTGAAGTAAGGAGACCAAATCATTGTCTTAAATGATGAAGATTTTGTTTATTAAGATTGAAAATTATGATTCAATGTAAAGATCCAGATGTATCTGTGTATATATCATTCTATATATGCATGTCTCTGAAAATGGTTAACTCCTAATTTTCATTGTATTTATGGACACCTTCACAACTCCTCCGTCACATATTCTAGTCACCAGAGACAAGAACTAACACTTTTATGCATTTGTAATCACTTTCAAAACCTTTATCAGAAGGATTCAAAGTCCTTGGCGAGGAACCTTGCGTCAACGCTCACAGAACGTTTTAACTATCAGGTTTGTGAGTTTCTGAGAAGTTTTCTAGGTTGGTTGTACTTGCCTACACTTGTGTACGTTTATTCTAAGTGATTACGTTATTATAATGTGTTAAATCAATCCGGTTTCTTCTGGTCCGACCGGTATTTAGTCCGTTTCTATCACCACAATTCACAATCACACATATTTTTTTTTTTAATTTGAACATAGATTATGACACTAATTACGGAATTATTACAATCTAGAATACAAACTCCTGTCATCGTAATCTTGATTTAATTCGTAAATTTACAAGATTAGCTCGGGTCCAATGACGAGTTAGTCTGAGGTCAACAAGCAAATAAAAAACAGATGGGTCTAATGATTTAGTCGTAACATGTTACATATTTTTCTAGAAGACATGAAGTTTATCTAATTTAATTACGGTGTTTCCAGATGGAAGCCATAACTAAGTGGGACTTAGGATCATTCAGAACGTACTACTCGGTTGAACCTAGTGAAAAGTTTCAAGAAGACGAGTATCTAGACCGAAGCCTTGTTCCTCGTCTTGAAGCTGAGTTATGGAAGGCTCAATCTAGAATCAAAGAGCTTGAGACAGAAAAGTTTGGATCCAAGGGAGACCTTAGATCTTTCATCAGAAACCAAAGAACAAGCCGGGATGAAAAAACTGATCCGGTTGTTGATTGCTTGGTAAAGAAGTTAACCAAAGAAAGGGAAGAAAGGAAGAGAGTTAATGCAGAGAACTCTAGGTTAAAGAAGAAGATGTGGGATATGGAATCATCGGTGAATCGGTTGAGGAGAGAAAGAGACACACTAGAGAAGGTGTGCGAGGAACTGGTGACGAGGATCGATGAATTGAAGGCAGAAACAAGAAGAGAATGGGATGAGACGGAGGAGGAGAGGCAGATGTTGCAAATGGCTGAGATGTGGAGGGAGGAAAGGGTTAGGGTTAAGTTGATGGATGCGAAACTTCCCTTGGAAGAAAAGTATGAAGAGATGAATTGGTTTGTTGATGAGTTAGAGAAGTGTTTGTTGATGGCAAGAAAAGTAGGACTAGGATCTGAGGAGATGAAGTTGAAAAGAGTTGAAGGTTTGATTAATACGGCAAGATCTTTCGAAGATGCAGCCATTGATATTGATCTTGAGTGATTTGAGTTTACGTTTATTAAGGATAACTAATGTTCTAAAATTCGATCCACAGAATCATGTCCAAGTTTGAAGTCAGAAAATTATAAATTATAAATTATAATCGAAATCTAATTAGATGATGATTTTGTAACATCTATCAGTCCACACTGACAGGACCAAACCGCACTACATCAATTCATGTTAGAAGAACTAATAAGTGACAACATATTCGATTTTTTTATCGTCTGGGAACCTACGAAGACAGCCATCTGCAACAACCTTTTTTCTAGTGTGGAATTTGAACCTCGAGATCATCAACAAAGAAACAAGTGTATCTTTATGCCAATCAGCATACCAAAGTGCTCCCACGATTGTGGGACATGATTACATTTATAGTTTTATCTTATAATTTTTAATCATTGCATCATCAAACTCTAGAGAAACTAGTGCAAAATAAACCAAAGTGCTGTAAGTAAACTTGTCACCACATCATGGTGGTCTAATAATTTTCACCGGAGATATCGCCATGTTGGTTCAAGTCATGGATCAATTACTCTCTAGTGTAAAATTGTTAACTCGTGTGGTTAATTGGCGTGGATCTCTGACTTCCAATAAAGTAATTGGACTTGTCTGTCAACAATGGGTACGCCGTTAGTATTCAAAAAATGACACTTGTCATTGTAGGTAAAGTCTGTTAGAGAACAAGTAAATTTACCAGTGGATGTCTTTTTAGCTCTGTTGTCATGTATCTATCAAATATTGAACTCAACATGGTAAATTCTTTTTTCTTTCTGTATTTAACAAAATCATATTAATTTGATTATATTATTATTTTTGGTTGCTAATGATCCATTGAATCTAGAGATCCGATCTTTTTCCGGTGTTACGATTGCACATGGCCAAATCATGCTATTCTCTTTATACTTTCCAATTCTCTTTATACTTTCCAACTCCAAAAACAATCCATTTCCACATGAGAAAGTTTATCATTATCATAAAAATGAATTTGGAGCAGATAAAAACATTCAAATGTCTCTGAGATTCCGACTACTCCGGAGAATCAGAAATCATGGGTTGAGGTGGCAAAGCAGCAGAAAATTCTAAAAAGTTACGATTTGAAGATTTCAGTTTCGGAGGGGAAGCAACTGGTTACTGTTCCATCGGAGATTGTTGATAAGGGTAACCCTCTCTGGGATGATTTTGTGATAGCGCGCTTCTTAGAAACGGCACCACACGTTGCTAAAGTGCACATGATACTCAACAAGATCTGGAAGTTTGGCGAGAAGATGATGAAAATTGATGTTTATGAGATGGATGGGGTTACGATGAGAATCAGGATTCCGAGCGAAGTGGTTAGGGAGAAGATAATCAAGAGGGGTATGTGGAACATAGCTGGGATCCCTATGGTGGTGTCAAAGTGGTCTCCAGTGATTGACAAATCGGAAGGACACTTAACTCCACTATGGGTTCACCTAAGCAAAGTTCCAATGAGTATGTATTCATGGGAAGGATTGAGCTTCATATCAAGTGCAGCTGGGATACCTGATAAGTTACATCCGGAAACGATAGCATGTTCGAACTTTGAAGTGGCTAAAGTTTGTGTCAAAGCTGATTTATCAAAGAGGTTACCAGAGCAAATGAGTTTCAAAATAGGTGATAATGAAGTTATGGTGGTGTTTACATATCCATGGTTACCTAAGAAATGCAGTAACTGTGAAAAATGGGGACACACAGATGTTATTTGCAGTATGGGGAAGAAAGAAGAGGGTGAAATAGTTGAGGTGGGAGAGTTCTCAAAGAGTAACAAGGTGACTGTTGATGAAGATGAGAGTAACAAAGTGATGGCGAATGCTAAAGGTTCGGAGGATGGAAATGAGTTAGATAAAGGAACAGAACTGGAAGAAGGGGGGAAGTCCGAGGTTGTAGAAAATGAGAAAGAGAAGTATTCTGATGTTGTATCTAGAGGTGTTGATATAGCAGGGAATAGTATCTTACAAGAAAAGAAGGACAGTGAGCAACTGAATGACAGCTGGAACCAGGTTCCGGAAAAAGCAAACAGAAGCTCATGGAAGTCACCAAATGAAAAGTGTGATCAGGTAACTATAACTCCATCGAGATTCGCTGCTCTAAGCAACTTAGAGGAGAGTAGTGAAGAAGTTCAGGAAACTGTTGTTGAGCCGGAATTGAAGGGGATACAAGGGGTTGAGAGTGTTACTGATAAAGAAAAATCAAAAGATGCAGGGATAGAAGTAGTGAGGCAGATACTTCCTAGAAATTCAAAGACTTTTCACCGAGTTCTCTCTGAAAATGTCAACACTAAGAGTGAGCTTGGTGTTACAACAAGGGGATCTCGTAAACATCATCACTAATGGCTGGGTTTTTCTGGAATATAAGGGGCTTTAATAAATCTATTAAGCATGAGGTGGTTCGGAATTGGAGTCGGAGTAATAATATGCAGTTTGGATGTATGATTGAGACCAGAGTTAAAGAAAATAAGGCAGATAAGATTATTGATAAAGTGTTTGAGGGTTGGGATAGAATTACGAACTATGAGCATCACAATTTGGGAAGGATTTGGGTCGTCTGGAGGCAGAATGTAAGGATGAGTCCTGTTTATAAAAGCGGTCAGCTCATCACTTGCTCGGTCTTAATGGATGGTGTTGATGAGGAATTTTTTTGTTCTTTTGTTTATGCTGCAAATGGTGTGGAGGATAGAAAGGAGTTGTGGAATGATCTGCGAAGTCATTATGATGCCCCGATATTCAAAGATAAAAATTGGATGATAATGGGGGATTTCAATGAAATCTTGGATATTGAGGAGCATTCTGGTTTTGATAGTTCTCCGAGACTACCAGGAGGAACTCGAGACTTTCAAGAGATTGCTAACTACTGTGGTCTAACGGATATGGGGTATCAAGGGCCTAAGTTTACATGGTGCAATAAAAGAGAAGAGGGTCTGATATGTAAGAAGTTGGACAGAGTTTTAATCAATGAGAAATGGCTTCACACTTCGAAGGCTTACTGTGTTTTTGAACCTGGTGGTTGCTCAGACCATTTGAGGTGCAGAATTCAAATGGTGGTGGGTGATAAAGCAAAGCGGAAGCCTTTTAAATTTACGAACTGTATTGCTCAATTGCCTGAATTTCTTCCTTTAGTGGAGGAGAATTGGAGAGGTAATGAAGCACTTTTTCACTCTACTGCTGCTATGTTCAAGCTCACTAAACAACTGAAGTCTTTAAAACAACCTCTACGTTCTCTTTGCAAGAAGAAGTTAGGAGACTTGCCAAAGAAAACTAGAGACGCTTTTATGATCTTATGTGAGAAACAGAAAGCCACTTTGGATCAGCCGTCAGCCAGTATGATTAGAGATGAAGCTATTGCTTATGAGAGATGGCAACGCTTAGCTTATTTGGAGGAAGAATTTTATAAACAAAGATCCAAGCTTCACTGGCTTGAAGTGGGTGACGGCAATAATAGAGTTTTTTATAATGCTATTAAGGTTCGTGAAGTGAGAAATGGCATAAGAGAAGTAATGAGAGCTGATGGCACCATTGCAAAAAGTGATGATGAGATCAAAGCCGAAGCTGTGGGTTTCTTTTCAGAGTTCATGTCTGCTGTTCCTGATAACTTTAAAGAAGCTACGGTTGATAGGTTGAAAGAGCTACTAAAGTTTCAATGCAGTGAGATGGATTGTGAGAAGCTTGTTAAGGAAGTGACTAAGGAGGAAATCAGAGATATTCTTTTTAAGATGCCAGGGCAAAAGTCTCCAGGACCTGATGGGTATACCTCGGAATTCTTCAAAGAAGCTTGGCTGATCATTGGTGATGACGTTACTGTTGCTATTCAATCCTTCTTCCTTAAAGGGTTCTTGCCTAAAGGTTTGAACTCAACTATTTTAGCCCTGATCCCTAAAACTGCTGAGGCTAAGATCATGAAGGATTATAGGCCAATTTCGTGCTGCAATGTCCTCTACAAAATAATCTCAAAACTCATTGCTAACCGTCTGAAAGGCATCCTTCCGAAGTGTATCTCCTTGAACCAATCTGCCTTCATCAAAGAGAGATTGTTAATGGAGAATGTGCTTTTGGCAACAGAAATTGTGAAAGACTACCATCGAGTTGACATATCTCCAAGGTGTGCTATGATGATTGATATTTCTAAAGCCTTTGACTCAGTGCAATGGGCTTTTCTTCTCAACACTCTTCAGGCACTTGGCATTCCAGACAAGTTTATCAAGTGGATTTCCCTTTGCATTACTACTGCTTCGTTTTCTGTTCAAGTGAACGGTGAGCTTGCTGGGTACTTTCAGAGCAACAGAGGTTTGCGTCAGGGTTGTTCCCTGTCTCCTTATTTGTTTGTCATCTGTATGAATGTCCTGTCCAAGATGTTGGATGATGCTGCTTCAAAAAACCTGATTGGTTTCCATCCTAAATGTAAGAACATAGGTCTCACTCACCTATGCTTTGCTGACGATTTAATGGTTTTCAGTGATGGTTCTCGAAGTTCAGTTGAAGGAATTCTTAATGTCTTTAAGGAGTTTGATGTGATGTCTGGTCTTAAAATTAGCTTGGAGAAGTCTACGTTGTTTATGGCAGGGTTATCAGATCAGAAGAAAGAAGAGATTATGAATCAGTTCCCTTTTGCGTCTGGTAATCTCCCAGTCAGGTACCTTGGGTTGCCTTTGCTAACGCGAAGCATGACGGTTAATGATTTTTTGCCCCTTGTTGAGAAGATTAGAAAGCGAATTGGTACTTGGACAGGACGCTTCCTCTCTTATGCTGGTAGACTCCAACTGATTAACTCAGTTATCATGAGTTTGGTGAATTTTTGGATGGCTGCTTTCCGGTTACCTAGCAGTTGTATTCATGAGATTGAGCGAATCTGTTCTGCTTTTCTTTGGTCTGGTGTTGAGATGAATAACCGTAGAGCAAAAATCAGTTGGAAAGAGGTTTGTACAACGAAGCAGGAAGGGGGTTTGGGGATCAGATCCTTAAAGGATATGAATATTGTTTGTGTTCTGA